ATTTTGTTTTACAGATTCAGAGACAGGAGCTCGTCTTGCGATGCGTCTTCGAAAAGATACGTCATCACCAATCCGCCAGACGACTTTTCGCTCATGCCAACGGACCAGGTAAACTTCTTCATCTATATACTTTACACTATTTTTTGGTGTAACAATACGAAAACACAATCCATCATGCGAATATATAAAAAACCACCACTCGAAAATGTACGCCGTTTTTTTAGGGCTTATTTTACGTGCGTTTGGGCACGTTTTCTGCGATGTCTAATGAAAATTGAACATAAATATAATATTTTAAGGAATACGCAGTTGTAATTTCAACTTTAAACTTCTAAATTTTAATCTATAATACAACCTATTTAATAATCCTGGAAAAGATATGATCTAAATAACCATGGTGTGCACGTATGTATGGTAAGTACGAAATGTACAATGCAGCTGTGTGCAGTGAATAACAAAAACAAAAATCTTTTAGTATACAATTTTTTCGAATTAGCTGGATATACAAAACCCACACCGATCCCCTCCCCTGAATATTGGACATATGCAGTTTTGAAAATTCCTTTAATTAAGTTCTGAGCACTTTTGATTATTTTATTTTTCGCCGTTGATCTGAAAACCGAAAAGGCTGTGTTCGCTTTAGGTCATGGCCAAATAAAAAAAAAAAAAATCATTTAAAATCATAATTATACATAATTATTTGTCATTTCGGAGGCGACGTCGCTTGGAAACGCGTCCGTTCTATTCTGGTACACTACGAGTCGGGTCGGCCAACAATAAACCACAGTTTGGTCGAATATTGGCGTAAGATCAAATCAAACAACTGCTCGTATAAAATATTTTGTAATATTTTACTGAACCACTGAAATGATCGAAAGTCCTAAGAGATGATACACGAAACACGGGTCTAGCTGCGATTTTGAATTCACCTGGTGATTACGTGTGCGCTCCAATCGCCACACATTGTACCAGTGTTATATAAGTCTAAAAGTCAAGTGCCACTCTATACGATAAGCGCAACTAGCGGTTAAAATGATTATAACTAATTACGTGGAACCGTATCAATATGTTTGATACCATAGTAAGATCGTTATCACGATTTTATCTGGGATAAAGGAAATAAACACAGATATATTTATGATAAACTAGATTATTGTTAACTGATAATAAGTCGTGATGTTTCACTTCATTTAATTCGAGTCTCGTGCGCCTCATCATTCACTTTTCTATTACGATAACTGTTATATATGTGAATATGTAAGTAGAAGATTCAACAGTTATCACAATGTAAGAGTAAATTATAAGGCTTGAAGTTAAATGGTTGTTGTGTGATTTCAACCAAAAACATTAAGTGTGATATGGCAGTAAAAAATCTAGTTTATTATGTGAGTTATCTGGTGGTTTTTATAGTAGTAATAAAATAGTCCATTATGAGCGCTAAAACACTTATTTTGTATAAGCTAATTCAGAGGTTATCTAATCATAGATCAATGGGCAATGTTGGACCGGATTACTAGTGTGTATATCCCACGATATAAACCGAAATCGTCTGCGTTATGTATACCCCGCAAACATATTGTATGTGTACATAATACATATAGTATATTAAATAATTATTATAAATTAAAATAATTTCTTTAATTATTTTATTTTATTTAATTAATATTAAGTTAAGATTTTTAGAGTTTGTGAAGGATTTTCCATTAAATTGTATTTGTTTCTGTGTGAATGTTTTTTGCAACTTTTAGTTTCTATAATACACATATTATTGGCATTTTATGATTACAAATAAAATTTAAATTGTATTTTAAATAGTTTAAAAAAATTATTCAATCAATACAATACTATATCTGTATAAACAGTTTATAAAACCAAGACGTTATACCCAAATTAATTATAAGGTTTTGAATGTATTCGGATGTTCAAACACCAGAATAAAAGATGTAAATAAACATTTGGGTGTTAATAACTGTCATTATTAGAGTTAATATTGGTTGATACAGGTGTTCAGTAGTCTAGGAACTTTAATTTGAAATATTCATACGACTTACTTGTATGATAAAAAAACAACACAAATGTATAAACGTAAAAAAAAACATAATTGTTTACAAAATATTACCTAATTAACATGTACATACATGAAATAATGTTTAATTAATAATAAAAAATATATTCGGCGATTCGGTTTAATTAGAATCAAATATTATTATTCAAATGATATAAGCAGATAATTGTATTTTGGATTTTATTTTCTAGTTATTTTCAGAAAATGTTCTTTTGCATTTTGCATTTTAAACACCCTCTAACCCCCAAAAGTCCCCCTTTTACACGCGCCTGAATATGACGATTGTATGATATCAATAAAATAATAGTGATTTAACGGTTTTTCGTTTTTGCAGGTTTTCGTGCTGATGCAGTTCGATCCCGGGCTCGAGTATAAGCCGACCAGCCGGAACGGCGGACGGGCAAAGGACGACAATTCCTGACTATTGCTCTGTAGCGCTCTCACAGACGGTCCGTATTCGTACATCTAAATCGCGAGGGGCCGGACTTGAACGCGTGGCAACACGACCGCAACTGCACGACGACCGCAACGACGTCTCCGGACCGCCGTCACCCGAAGACGATTTCGCTCGTTTTCGCGCGTACCCCGCGGTTCTTTAGACGGTTTTTATCCCCGTACCCGTACCCCCGTATCGCCGACTATAATATTAAACGCATTTTAAATAAATAATAATAAAAAAAAAGGAACAACCAATAATAAACAAAATAACATTGTAATAATATACTGTCCCTAATACATACAACGACGTACCCCTTATACGTACGAACCTACGGCGACCGCGGAAGAAATTTGCTATCGTTCGACAAATGTCTGCCACCGTGTGCCCCGCACAATATTATATTTCGTATAATACATATTATTGTTGTTATCATTATTATAACATCCCGTGCGGATTCGTTGAGATTTTATACCCGAGTGGAATCTGTGAAATATCAACGAACCCGTACTGGCCGCGTGCCCGTATAGCAAATATTATTATACTTGGTACGTAAGTTGTAATATGGATTATATCGAAAACAAGTATTTCGGTGCTCCCGGTGAACGACTTGCGTGACGACGGTTGAAAAATTTGCCGGGCCTTTCGTCGCGGTTAATTTTTCGACCGCCGCCGATATTATTCGTTTATCAATATTCTCCGGAAACCGCCTCCTGTTTTCCTCCGTCCAAATATCGACGAAACAATATATTTTATTAAAAAAAAAACATTATGTACTACAATTTATTAAGTGTTAAGTATCCTCGGAGGTTGTCCGGATCTTTCAACAACCCCATCACGGTCACGACAATAATCGCCGCAGGTTCGGTCTCGTATAGGTATGGGTACGCGTCAACGTTAAAAAAAAAAAACCAAAAAATAAAATAACAACGATGCCATTATAGGTAGGTATGGAATGATTCGAATCGTTCTCACCGATTTATATACTCGCGTCTTGTATGTGTTATAAACATCGTAATTATTTTATTTTTTGTTTTCACAACACCTGTAGATATCATAGAATAATCATAACGCGCAGTCATCTCGTCGATATTTTCGTTCCGGTTTTCTCATTCTCTCTCGCTATTTCAATCTCAATTTCAATCTCTCTATCTTTATCTGGGGGTCATTCCCGGGGAATCATGTTGCTCCCGTCGAAGTTGCCGCGCGTTTCCGAGTCCCGTCGCCGCGATTTAGACGTGAAACGGACGCCGTGTCAGCGCTACACCCGTCGGTAACTTTTCTGTACAGCAATATTTAAGTGTAATAAATTAAAATAATTTAAAACCGCGTCGTTAAAGAAAAAAAAAATTAATATGTTTCACTATACCTATATAGAGTTTAAATAATCGGATATACGACCGCGAAATGATATTTTTCAAATTTATTGCGTTCCGCGTGATGTTGAAAATCGTTTACGTATTCGTATAATAGAATTTTATTATATTATAGGATTACGTGTTAGGTAAACCTACTGCTATAATATTATATAATTGACATAGAACATCAAAAAAAGAAAAATCTCAAACGATTTTTACGTATTATCGTTCGTCGTTGTATACCCTCGTAAATTATATAACTTTTTTTTTTAGTTTTTATCTCGAGAGTGTAGTTTAAAATTAAATAAATAATATATTCGCCTACTATAATGATAATTTTAAAATGTATTTGAAATTAAAAAAAAATATTACATTTATAGGAGAGTTGATTAAAAACAAAAAAAACCAACCCCCAAAAAAAAAAAAAAATTGTACCCCAGTATTATTATAGTATTAATATTATTATATTACACCTATAAAATATTCAACAAATTGTTCTTTAGGGAAATTGTTCTAATTTATATTCGAAAACAAACAAGATTGTCATTTGTTTGGTTGTTGTTGTTTTTTTTTTTTTTATGAATGTAAATATAAAATGTATATAAAGTGGTTGAATCAAACAAACAAACAAATAATGGTAAAAAAAAAAAAATGTCTAGCCTGTAAGTGAAATATGTAACTGTACATTAAAATAATATTATTGATTTCGAACATTATTTTATACACTGCGTTACCGAATTTATAATTGTATTTCAATAGTCTGAAAGTTATCATTTTTTTTTGAAAAAAAAAAAAAAATATTTCGTTCATGAGCAGCTATATAATATTATAATAATATTATCTTAATTTTAATTAATTTTTTTTTTAAATATCATCTACTAAATTAGTACGATTTTTTATCATCATCATTATTATTATTATTATAAATTATTACAAAACCATCATAAATCGCGGTTGTTTATGAATATTCTTGTTAAAAAAAATTTAAAAAAAATTATAACATATAATATAATAATAATATTTTCGAAAATCACCATATACAAAGGCACTAAATGTTTTTTTACACGCAATTTTTGTAATGGACTTAAAAATGAAGTTCATATATAATACTAAAAAAATATATTATATTATAATAATAATATATTGTATAGGTTTATGAATAAATTAAATTGTTTATATAATAATATTATATAGTTGAAATTATTATTAAAAGAATAATAATAATAATAATAAAAATCACTGTTCTATTTATTCGGGGGGGACGGGGGGGCAGGGAGCTTAAGGGGGAGCTTGTTATTATAAAATATATTTTTTTTTTATTGTTACGACGCGTTTTACATACCTAACTACATAATATAAATACATAATAATAATAAAATATAATAATAATATTGCAATTTCGTATATGAACAAAACATATAATAGCAATACAAAAACGAACGAATAACTATTACGAAAGAGAAACAAAATATAATATTGGCTTTCTGAGACAATCAATATTTCTAAGGATCGCAATGATAACAACTCGCATAATAATAATAATAATAATAATACAAACCGCCTGAATCGCGCTAATAGACAACACAAAAAAATTTAAAAAAAACCCTAATCAAATAACATTTTAAAAAAAAAAATCGATTGGACGTTTCATCGCTTGAGCAAAATAACGATCGTAATTTATTATTATTACATTATAATTTATAAATAATATAATTGCATATTATTATACTTGAATCACATCGACGAGCTTTTTTTTTTGTCTGTTAAAAATAACCCCTGTACAACAGAAATACCTATATAAATATTATGTACATTTTTTTTTTGTTTTTTTTTTTTTTTTTTTTGTAATCAGTTATGTTTGAAATTATTGTTGTTATAATATTATTATTATTGTTGGCTTGAAAAATAATTTAAAGTCATCATTTTATTATTATTATTATTATTATTATTATTTATTTTTTTTTTTTTGTAATCAGTTATGTTTGAAATTATTGTTGTTATAATATTATTATTATTGTTGTTTATTGCTATTGAAATAAAATTATATAATAATAAAAAAAAAAAAAAAAATACTTAAAAACTACGCACAGCAGTATTTATTTTGTTGATTTTTTGAATATTAAACAAACATAAATATATTATACTTGTACATACAGCGACGCAACAAGGATTGTTTCGAAAGAAGGCTGATCACACGTCTACATATAAAAAAAAAATTGAATGCGTTTGTATCACTCGAACACAGATGGAAGGGAATGTTCAGATACCCAAATGACCCCATCACCCACTTTCCTGGTTGCGCCGCTGTATATTAATAACCGAAAAATGACTGTGGCTTTAGTAAATGTATTTAGTATTATACATTATTTTTTTTACATGGGCCGAAATTGTCCATCATTTTAGATACGGCGATTCTTTTAAAATAATTTATTGTGTATCAAAAGCGACATTGCTCTGCTTTGTGCTTACAAAATTCATCTTATCTTAAACAATGATAAACCCAAGTGAGATTTATTTTAAACTTTCTACATATTATATATATATATATATATAGTAACATATATAATATAAACATGTATATCACACACATATTGCAGTGTGTGATTTAATATGTATTATTATAGTAGCATGGTCAATGGAAACTTGACGAATCACCAAAATAATTTAATCAACATCAATTAATTTGTTTTAAACAGCGAGATTCAAACACAAAAATTGTATTTGATAATGTTATAACGAGCTATAAAAAAAAAAAAAAACCAAAACACTTATCAAATATTTCTTTACAGTAACAACCTGTTTACGTTAAAATGTATTACAAATTTTAAAATATCTCAAATTGTATAGTGTTCATAATATAAAATACTAAATTTAAATAATTTTTTTTTAAACAAATCGATTTTTTTTTTTTTTGTAAAATTTTACTTTTTTCATTCGCAACACCAACAGTATTTGAATTAAAAATTACTGTAAATATATATATGTATACATTACCTAACCTAACCTTACCAATACATTTATTATTTATGGTGGTGACCATTGACCACTTAGTAAATTTGAGGATGCAAGGTTCTCTGTTTATACGTTTTAAGGGAATTTAGCATTACTTGTATTTCCGGTAAATATGTCCTCATTGGTTTTATTCTTATCTCCTCGGTAAAAATACTCTAAGATGGGCAAATATCCCCTTTGTTATTTCGACGATTCCGGTAAAAATGTCTTGATGGGGGTAATAATATCTCATAATTTATTCTTACGACTACTATTAAAATGCACTATGGGTAAATATATCCTATGTTATTCTTTCATTCCCGGAAAAATGCACTGGGAAATGTAAATTTATCCCATTTGTTATGTCCCCAACTAAAATTGCTTGATGGGTGTTAATGTAATATACACTATGTTAATCTTACATCTATGATTAATAGATATTTAGTATAATTCTAATTCTTTGATATATTTTATGAAATACTGTTACCCAGTATAAAAGACTTCGAATACTTTTTCACGGTCACTATTTTATTTTATTCCATTAATTTACGCAATGGATATTTCGTGAACAATTATCACATTATTCTATATTATTGTTGTTTTCGTAATAATTAAATACATTCCGTATTCTTAGTTTTATTTCAAACTATTATTGATTACATTTTTTTTCGTTTAATTCTTAAACTTTTTTTAAAAAATTCAAAATTCAATTTATTAATTTTTATCCATAAAATAATTTGTGAAAATAACCAATGTAATATTTAACTTTTTAATAGCTAACTAATTAAATACACCTATACCTACTGAATAATACTTATACTATACACAAATTATTTTTATTTAACTGATGAAAACAATAATACAGTGTGTTATGTTACTATCCCTATAGTGTATTTTATTATTATGTTGACCTTTCCATTTGTTGTTGTCGATGTAACAGGCAAATCGTAACTACTGGACTATCACGCCTTTCCATTTCGATGTACATACCACTCACCGGTAACAAAATACCTATAGGATATCATATATATATCTCCTAAAATTTTATATGGAACACAATTGTTGTAGTAAATCTATAACCCCCGGCAGTATGTATTCTAGAGGGTACAAATGTACTTGAAATATTATACTTCCGATCAAAATTCGTTAGGATAACCCTACTGGACATTTCAGGGGTATATAAAATGTCTAGTGCATTCAAGTGTTTTTGACTTAGGTGGGTATATGTACCCATGTATAGTAACCTACATATACTCTCCCTACATAAATTCCTCTTACTAAAGTAAGAATTGTATACAAAAATAACTTTTAGATTTCGTATATCTTAACACAGTTTATGGATAAGAGAGTGGTATAACGGAAAAAAAATTGACTTGGCATCAAACGCAAATCAATTTCATAATTGTATACCATAATATCCTTTCTAAGGGATTCAGAATAATTTTTATCCTATTAACACCAAATTTTAAAAAAAGTTTCTGGATCACATCTAGACCACTTTCAAAATATTTAGTATCAATTGTAATAAATCTGAATAAAGGACATTTTACCACTCGTTTCAGAATAGTTAGTGGGTTAATATTTAGCGAGATGTAAAACGTAATTAGGTAATAGGTATTTCTACATGTTGAGTCTATCATTCATAATTACAACCAGCAATTAAAAATAACTAGGAATAACAGGAAAGAAAAATTATAGGTTAAACGTCAAATATTTACGGCGTGCCGTGGCGTTATCGATACCATTGTTTTTAATTTTTGCAAACTATGTTTTATACCAGAAATATTGCTTTAATTAAAAAAATACCAAGATTTGTTTGTTAAACTTTGGATTTAGACGCGAATAATAATTTCACACAGCTCTGTTGCAATGGTTTGTATTGTACATTTGAATAGATTATACGAGTATTGTAGCTGCGTCGATTCACATTTAAAAAGTACCCCGTTTCTGTCGCAAATATTAAGACCCGAAACAGGAAAATCTTGATAAAAATAAATATTCGAATATTCTTATTTATATAGATAATAGTAAACATTATGTTTCCGAAAAATACAGGTATAGATATAAAATAATAATTTATAAGGTCTTGAGATATTTTTTGTTTTAATTTTAAAAAATAAAATCGTATAAAAACAATAACTATAATTACCTGCTTTATGACAAATGCAGTTTTATGTCCGTACACGTAAAATACCATTCAATTTTCAACAGGCAGGTGGTAAAAGGGCGGTCCACCTCTGGTGGACTAAATGAACAGAAATTTCAACGTTCAAAGAGAGTTTTTAACAAAACTCGATAAAGTAATAATATTTATTCCAATAATATTAATCGAAATATAAAATAAATGTATAAAACACAAATATAAAGAAACGAAGCGAAATTAATATAAAAAATAGCTGATACTGGGGACAGGACTGTCGTAATTAGGTAGTTAGAAAACTAGAATACATAATATTATTTAATTTATATGTATAAACAATGATGACCTTTTTTTTCACTACGTTATCGATGGTGGACCAGGAACTGTTGTGATACTACTTCCGATCCGCCACTATAGTTTATTGACATAATATCACGTAATATAGTCCAAGATATAATCAACAAAACCCTAAAAAAAACATGTGTATTTTAATTTATAAAAAATAGAAAACGATACAGAATTTTGACATTCCTCTTCATGGACCACCCGCATAGTTCGTCGCCCTGGAGTTATCGTTCGTCCTCTTCATAACGTCATGGTTGTAAGCAACAATAACCTAATTCACCAATTGCTAACGAAAAACGATTTGGATCGAAGTTCGAAAGGACATATTATGAAATCACTAATCCATTAAACTCAAATTTGTTTTTTAAGCCACTCAGTACAACTTATAGTTGTTATAATATTGTGTTAAATCTGAAACATTTCTTTTTAAACATATACTCCATAACAGATATCTAGCAAATAAATATGTATATATATATATATAAATACGGAAATATTAAACACCTATAAATAGTTTAAAAATAACTAGAGTATTTTAAAAAATGTATCACGTTTACCAAAGGCTAATATAAGTATTTTGTGAGAAGTACAGGTAGAATCATTTTTAATTTAATCGAAACAACAGAAAACCTAAATGTCCTATACTTTGCCGTATTTCCTACCTTTTTCCCCCGGTTTTTAATCGTTATTAGGAAAACTATAAGGAAAAAGGATAGATATATTTTGTACATGAGTGCAGCCTCTATTGTAGGCGGGAAGTTAGAAAGATAGGATACAAATGGGAATTGAATGTATATCTGTAAGCAATGATAAACCATTGCTAACGAAAAAGCGATTCTGAGCGGAGTTTAGTTGATAGTGTTACTTTGTTAACAACATAAATTATGTCATATTATGGTAAAATAATTACAATGTGCGTTACCATGGCAACAATGATTGTACAAAATAGATTTCAAATAATAAAAACTTAATAATAACATAAAATAAACAAAAAGGGTTGCCGATGAAAACCTTATTATTAATCTCTCAATTTTTTTAAACCTAAAGAATCAGTTTTTCCTTATTATCTCATAATCTCTTAATGAGAATTTCAAAAAATAATTTCTCTAAAGTACCACCCAAAGAACATTTCCTCTCAGAAAAGGTGCTATACTTGATAATCGGTGTATGATTTCTGGTAGAAAGTGTTCATATAAAAAAAAAAAAAAAAAAAAATAATAAATATCTTTGTAAAACTAAAATCTAAAACCGACTTTCTTATTCACAAACAAAACAACCTTTTTTTTTTTTCAGAAAATATTCTACTCCTGAAATTTCGCCTGAGATTAAAAAAAAATAATAAAAAATAAAATATTAAACATTTTAAAGAATGAAATTTTTTTACCGTAATTTGAAAAAATAGTATTTTTCGTCTGTTTTAGTTTTTCCTAATTTTTATGAAAACTACTTTCAATATCAAAATCTTTTAAGAAGGTGTGCTACACTTGATTCTTTGAAGCATGATTTTTAGTAGAAAAGATATTTACAGACAAACAAAAAAAAAAAAAACAACAAAACACACATGGTAAAATCAATAGATTATTCGCTATCCTCTAAATCTAAAAATCAACAGGTAGGTACTTCACAATATTGTGTGATATATTTCAGACACTATAATTTTCACTGGCATTTTTATGTATTTTATTTCGATCTATAAAAAAAAAAAGAAGAAAAAATATCGAAAAATCCTATTGAGGTTTTTCGTTTGTGCAGATAACCACTTAAAAAGTCGAACAACAGTTACATTTTCGATTTTTCTCTTTTACAAACGCTTTTCGTGACGTACTATGACTTATTGGTCAGTTAAACCGTAATCGAAAAATTCCATCAAATATTTTGTAGGTCCTACTCTATTATAGATAAATATTTTTAATTGATAATAGCTAAACCTAGTGGATGACGGGTCTATTTTCTGTTACCGGAAACTGATTTAACGTACTCATAAATAAAAATGGAGATTA